ATCGGACTGAATACTTTGACGAGAATGGTGAGCACACTTCAATCACGATAGCCCTAGCTAACATATTTTCACTTAGGCACGCTTCTTCGAACAACCGGTGATTCTGAGCCCACCGCCCTCGAAGATATGTTACGGTTTCTCGAAGTTCTGAATGAAAACGATATTCCAGGTGTCTCTGCGTTCTTGCGCAGATGTCTGACCTTGGATCCTAAGGTGCGACCGAGCGCGCAAGATTTACTAAAAGATAGTTGGCTACTCTAAACATCAACACTAAGTCCTACCAGGCCAGTGTTCATGTACTACGATGCCACTCACAGCACAGGGGTCACTGTGTCAAACCGAATCTACTTAGACACATCTCGAGATTTTCGTCGGTATGGTGCCGTGAAAAAGGCTGCCAATTCTGCAATCGATCATCGTTCTTCATTCGAAATTCCTACCTCACATTCGGTAGAGCGACTTAGCCATGGGTCATTCGTCTCGTGTCTACCTCTGTTTGACCAGCCGCAACAAGCTTTGTTGCTCCCCCCCGTTCCTTGCAGTCAGGAAGCGGCAATGCAGATATGAATATCAGCTGAAGCCCGTTGCCGACGAGAGACGCCTTGGGTTGGGGGTTCTGGAGGGTTCTGGCCGATTATTAAATTTTACGATAGCAATACTCATGATAAGGTATAGGGGTGTTTGTAGGTACAAATAGGTCAACAAGCACATGGCACGGACGGGACGATTGCAATAACTATGATACATGCGTGAAAAGGGGGGACCTCAAGGGCGCCCCAAGAATCGATGTCTGGGATGCGTGAATGCGAAGGTTGATGTTAATGTAGAGGGTGGATCGGAGCAAAAAAATTTCAGAAGTCATCGATAGCGTTTTGTACAACCTTGAGGAACTGGTATTTGTCGATCTCGTCTCCCCGTTGGGCCTTCCACAGCTGGTAGATTCCTTTGATAGTATCCGCCAAAGCTTGGTCGGGTTTCTGGTCTACGTCCACTTTCTGTACATAACAGTCTTCGCCCCGGCGCTCGAGGGTGGGTATCTTGATTTTGAGGGATTTTCGAGAAGACCTCGAAGAGGTAGAACCAGCGTCGGAAGGGGTCCGTGAGTGACTGGACTGAGGGGAGATGCTGATCAGATCGCTGACGACGGAGATTGTAGATTCCTCGAGGTCACGCTCAACACTGGAGGGGAAGTCAGGGGTTGGGGGAGTGCGGAAATTCTGTTCTTCCTCAACGAGGCCCGACAAGAGATGCGCGAGTTGCTCGGGAGAAGGTTCCCGCCCTGGATAGATCATGGTCTGGGGAATGCTCAAGAGATCGACATCTTGATAGGATGGATCATTTGGATTAGGGTCGTCTTCCAAGGGGAACTGTGGACGTTTCCTGGCGCCGTCCTGGGGGAGGGGTGATGGGACTGTGGAGTCTGCCGTTCCTGTAATATTGAATACGTAAGTAAGCTTCGATATCAAAGAAGCGCGGCATTTTGCGGGGAAAAGCTACCAACCTTGAATGGCTGAATATTGAGCCCAGTAAGCGTCCTCGCTGTCAGGCTCTTTGATGGACGCGGAGGTGGGCCTCCCAGAGGTTTGAGAATCGTTCCCATACGCATTCCAGTACGCGTCGTCGTCGTCGTCATCTTCCGATAAGGGGGAGCCTCCCCCTGTGACCAGAATCGGCGTTGACATTACCTGAGTCGAAAAAGGGGACACGGCCTGTGGACTCGACTTCGCCCCTTCAGGAAAAGGCATCGTTTTCAGATCGTGGAATTTCCAAGACTCGGTGGCAAAGTCCCATTGGAAAACGAGCCGAATGCCCTTGCTGAGCCCGGAACAAGAGAGAGCGACGTGACCATAAGTATAGTCTCCATCGGAGGTGTAGACTGTCCGGTACGGGTGATGGTGCGCGTAGGTATAATACTGTTCGAGCAGGTCGATCGCCTCTTTTCCAGCTTTTCCATCGTCGTTGGATGGCCAGGAGAGATATTCCCGAGGAGTGTCTGGGGTAATGCTGAGGAAGTGGTGCCTCTGCATCATTGCTCTGGAGAGTTCATGTGCGGGAATGGGCTGGAGGTTGGAAGGAGGGGAGATGAGCTGAAGGATGTAATCGACTTTGTGCTGTTCGAGGCTGGAAGGATTCATTTTCTGTGAGGCGTCGACCGTGTCGTGTTCCATTCTGACGCAGGTGTGCTTATAAGGCGCGAGCGAGGTTGAGGCCGGAATATCGTCGCCACAGAAAGTATCCGTTGGTAAGGAAAGGTAAAGAGAGAGGGAAGAACCATAGCCCAACGATTTAGTATCATTTACCGCTTGGATCGGAAAGCACGTGATACTACCACAACAGCCTGCCATGAAACTCTCACCATCAGGCCAGTTCGACAGCTCGACAGCGGCGAAGCTCCTGGTTCTAGCACTCCTCCCGGTTCTAACTTTGGCCCAGGTATGCTTTTCCAACTCCTCCATCAGGTCCGAGGCTGATTAAACGCATCTAACTCAGTCGAGTGGTTCCGGGAATGGAAACACTGTCTCTACCCCATCCGGTGGTGGGAACAGTACACTCCCAGTGGTTATCACTTCTACCACCGTGTTCTCGACCGTTAGCACTGCAGCAAACGGTCAGCAGACGACAATCGTCTCATCGATTTTGACCATCGTCACCCAAAATGCGCAGCCGAGTGGTAACAACACAAACACCAATAACACAAGAACCTCCACCAAAACATCTTCTACTCCCCCGCTTTCCACCGCTCCTAGCGATGTCACCGTTGATGGAGGAGGTCCGAGTGGTGCCCCGGTGCCCGGTCAGTCCGGAGGTGGTGGTATCTATGGTCCAAACGACAACTACACCTCATCGGTGATGGCACTCACTGCAAATACGCTTCTGGGCTCCTTAATAGCTCTCATTGCTGGTGGTATCTTGGTGTTGCGCTAGTACCATGGCACTAGTCAAAGACTTTTTATGTGGACCATCTTTTGCATTTTGTCGCCTTGCATTTCACGGACACTTTTTATCGTTTCCTCGCATATTTTAGTTACATTTTTTATGGACGACACGTATCGATATATTTCCCCCGCCTTTCGGTAGACTATCCAACCCACTGAACTCCCACCAACTGTTCTGTGGCACTCGATGAACCTCGGAAAATTAGGGCGAACCACGTTCACCCAGTTAAGACAGTGTGGCTGGGGGCCTTTACAAATTCGAAAGCTCTGCGCATCCCCCATGTCTGACCCTCAAGGAACCCACGCAGCCAAAAGGCTCAAAACTGCCGAGACCCCCAAGGTGACGCGACCTTGACCTTGTTCTGCCGCAACACGTTTTTACCAATTTCGCCCATTCTTTAGGTCATTGGAACGCACAACGGAACCTTTCACTGCGACGAAGCCCTAGCGGTCTACCTGCTCAGGCAAACCTCGACTTACACCAACGCAGGTTTGTCACGTCAGCCGGATTTTCCCTCTACGAAATCAACGCCCCTATCGAACAGACTTGATCCGAACGAGAGACCCGGCGATCTTGGATACGTGCGATATCGTCGTGGACGTCGGGGCGGTGTACGATGAAAACCTAAAAAGATTCGACCACCACCAACGCGGTTTTGAAGGGGTTTTCGGCCACGGCTTCCAAACGAAACTCTCGTCTGCCGGGCTGATTTACAAGTGCGTTACCTTCCGTCCATCTCTCAGACAAAACGCTGATTGCGGCACAGACACTTTGGCCAAGAGATCATCGGGGACAGATTCCGGCTACAACCTGAAGACCCGACCGTCAAGACGCTCTGGTTGAAACTGTACAAGGTTCGCCTTCGTCGCCGGGATTTTGAAGGCACCTGCTGATAGGGAAGAACCAGGAATTCATCGAAGCGATTGACGGAGTGGATAACGGTGTTTCCCAGTACCCTCGGGACGTCGCCCCTAAGTATCGTAATCGGACAGACCTTTCCGCCAGAGTGGGTTGGCTGAACCCTGCATGGAATGAGCCCTTCGATTCGAAGAGGGTGGATGTAAGACGCGTTCACCACCGGAATCCTCAGATTTGGCACGTATTGAAGTTAATGCAGGCACGATTTGTGAAAGCCTCCACGTTGGCGGGTGAAGAGTTTTTGGGGCGCTTGGATTACTATGCAAAAGCCTGGCTGCCGGCTCGAACTCTGGTCGCTGATGGCCTCTCGCAGCGGGCTCAAGTAGATCCGAGTGGGAGAATAATCCTCTTCGAACAATTCGCCCCTTGGAAAGTGAGTTTTCGTTTTACCCTCTCCGGGCCAACTTTCTTCCTCCCCCCCTTTTCCTTCTTGGCAACTTAATTTCTACCTTCCTTTCCCCGCACCCGCGTGAAGTTAACAAATAACTGACCCAGGGGTCGATCTCACTTCTTGATATAGGAACACCTGTTTGAGCTAGAGACGGAACTGAACGTGACCGATGAGGCGAAGCCGTTCTACGTCGTGTACCCCGACGAGACGGCTGGTAATTGGCGCATTCAAGCTGTTCCGGCTTCCCCGGATAGTTTTGAGAGCAGGAAAGCCCTACCGGAGGCGTGGAGAGGGCTCAGGGACGAGAAGCTTTCAGAGGTGTCCGGGGTTGAGGGTGGGATCTTTGTTCACGCGTCTGGATTCATTGGGGGTGCGTCGTACCGTCTTGTTCCTACTTTGTTACCCAAGGCGCTGACACTTCGCTCCCGCAGGCAACAAAACAAAAGATGGAGCATTAACCCTCGCGCGTAAAGCTCTTGAATTGTAAAGACCAAGGTGTACCTATGATATAATGTTCGGCCACTTGTGCTGAGGAATAAGAAAGACAATTCTGTATCGGGAATCGATGTATTCGACGGGAAGTCTGCGATGGTGGAAAGGACTCTTCGAGGACACTAGAAAAAAATCACATCTTCGGCCCGCTCAATAGTAAAGTCTTCTTACGGTTTTTTGTTGGAGTCCAGAAACACCACAACTGGTTTCCGGGGAAAGCATCGTAGAGACCAAGAGGTAACAATCCCAGGAACAAGTACCTGGTTCATTAGTGTAGTGGTTATCACTCTGGATTTTGACTAGATGATCACTTTCCAGCAACCCCGGTTCGAACCCGGGATGGACCTCATTTTTTACAAGGATTCCGCAGTATGTTGGCAGAAAAAAACATACATTTTTAATAAACACTACAAGAGGTACAAACAAGGCCCGAGGCGTATCCAAGACAGCTGCTTTGGGCATCAAAATGCTGTGTTAGCGCATATACCTGCCTTAAGGACGACTCGAAGGCATACCTTGAACATAGAATCACATTTGATCTGGGCAGAAATTCTCCGAAGGAGAGTGAGGAAAAAATTGTCTTCGCCCATGGCGAAGCCACAGTCCAAGAATAGTCTGAATCGAGTTACACGTCGAAGGCGCGAAGCCCCCAAACGCGCACCGCGAATTGCACTAAAGGGCGAACCCACCAGACGACCGCGTCGGGACCAAACCATGGCCCCCTTCGCAGCGGAGGCAGCATATGCGCTACCATTGAGACCCGCGCGACGTGGGGGCCTAGATGATTTGATCGACATCGGAAGCGGAAAGGCTCACCCAAAGTCCACGGCAATATTTCAAGGCTGCTTTCCACCTCCCTCTACGATAGTTACCGCCAGTTAAAACCGGCGGAAACACATTTCTTCGGGGTAAACAGGAAAGCTGCCGATTTTCATGTTTGCCGTTAGGTACGTTGGTACCTGGGTCGTCTCGACCGGGTCTTGACAAATGGACTATTTTCTCAGACCTTCCCACTCATGAAAAACGAGGCGGTTGGACCGCTCGTGTGCGTGATGAGTATCGCGGTTTTTGAGCTGTGGCGGACACCGGAGACGATGTGGACGAAGAGAAAAAAAGTCCCGTGGCATTCAACCAGTTCTTATCAACAGTTCTCACGGTCACTCGTCATACCGGCGGAAGACTTGAAACAAGCATACAAATTAGCATCTACATTTTGACAACTACGCACATTGTCTCCGAAGGAGATAAAAGAGGAAAAAATTGGGTTGGGAACGACAGGATGAGAGTAGGCCGAATTGAGTTCCACGGGTTGCCGCCCAAAGGGCAAGAAATTCCGTGCGCCACAAATTGCACTAAAGGGTAAACGTGCGGAAAACCAACTAAGCCGGTATCCAAGTCCCCAAAACACGAGGAGGGTCCCGACACTCAATGCAACAGTAAACCCGGTGCTTCGGCTAGGCCACCACACAGGGATACCGTCGCCGTCAGGAAAGCCCTTTGCTTAGCCCTCGCTGGAAGACAAAGTTAACCGAACTTGAAAAACACGGACGAACCGCGAGTCGGAAATCCCTCCGAAGAGAAAAAGACACATTCACCCAACTCCCGGCGGAATTTGAAGACCACGAAACGCCATCGCCCCTCATCAGTCCGAAGAGGCTGGATCTTTGGGGCAATCTGGCGGCTGGCTAATCCCCTCCCGCGGCCAGGGCTTCGCATATCGAGTCGAGTTTCTTGTTTCCGCCTACCGGGACATCCCGGCTGTTGAGTTCCATTGGAACACGGCAGTATCCTGCCAACAGATGGGGAGACGTTCAGACCTTCCCGCCCACGAAGAAGAGAAACCGAGAAGGGATCTCTGTGCGTAACGGGCGATGTGGCCTTCATCCTGTCGCCTGCACGGGACGCTCGATGGAGCAAGCTGGAGCAAGTCCAAGAGCAACCCTGCTGGCTTGCACCACGTGACCGCTGGGCTTGTTTTAAGCTTAGCGCCTCACCCCGCGGCGCCCTCAGAATTTATTGTTTACCTCCGTATGACTTCCGGTTCGACAAGAAAGTATCGGGTGGGCTTCGAGACAGTGAGTATTTCTCTTTGGAGAGGCAGCAGACCCACTCTCACACCGTTGCCGTTTTTTTTGAAAGTAGTATGACGATGGCCCACCTGGCCCTGACTCTCCCTACCTGGTAAGGTGGTAAGGGCGACGCATATCCGCACAAAAGGGATTCTCAACGGTGTTTTCACAGCCAAAAGCCATGGATCGTTAGGCATAAACACCGAACGGAAGGGTGATTAGCTTTGAAATCCCAGGGCCTTCCATACTGTCGATCTCGTCAAGGGTCGATACTATTATCCCAATGATCCGGGTGAGCTTCGTTGAGTACCCTATATTTATGCGGTCGCTCAACGCAAGCTCTAGCCAGGCAAGGAGAAAATTTCTCGTCACTACTAGGATTGAAAGAGGGGGGATGGGTCTTGCTAGACGCGGTAAGTTCCTTGCGTAGAAACCTGCCAACGATCTCATCCCTAACTCACTGCAGACACCTGCCTCGTGCGCAAACATCGCCTTGCATCACCTCGTCCCAGGAGAGATCGATCTGGAATACTGCAACATCGCACTAATCTCCTTGTCGGTAGCCCTTTTCCTGATCAAGTTCCCGGACTTGATTTTGGACAGAGTACAGCCTTCAAGTAAGGGTCACCCTTTTCTCGGGAGTTGCGCAAAGCGCGATATTGACCGCTCTTCAGGCGCATTCACCCTACCTTCAGGGACGTTAGGGGCAGACTTTTTCATCCTCACTCACAGGCGTCCGCGCGATTGCCCTCTCCTTTGGCAACGCGTCTGGGCAGGTTCCTGGCGCGGTATTCCATGACCCTATACAGCGTCAATGTCCCCGAGATCGAGAGACTGCTCCAATAATTATTGGACGTCGGTATGGAGAAGTAATCCTGAGCAGTCGTTTGCCGAATCCACAGGTGACGAATGGGAGTGCGTCTAGCGAGGTCGAGAAGGCCATATTGCAAGTTACTGATGTTGATGTCTCCCGCGAAGATGGAAGGAACCCGAAGGATGCTTGCTGAAGTGAATGTGTTCGAATTCAACCCAGACGCTTTAGGATTCACGCTCAAGACGGTCCCAAAGGAAGGATAAGATAGTTGAGCCTTGGTTACCTTGGGTGCCGATGCGACCAGCGTCACACCTTACCTCACCGGTTTCGCAGAACTCCGGAGAGGGATCGTAGTTTCTCCTGCTGGCAGGACCGGAAATGGAAGTTCGAGTTCTAATTCCCAAACGTTGCAATCGTATATATAGCCGCTGGACGTAGGATTTACCTCTGCCGTATAGATGATTCAATATTCATGGCTCGCGTTTCGTTCGAGGAGTTTTGAGCGTTTTACTTCTTTTTGGCTTGTGGTTTTGGCGCGGGGACAAAGAAGTACAAACGAAAACGGACCTGACGTTGCTGGTCCGCAATCGACTGCTTTGCACCCGCTTACATCTTACATGGCTCCCGGTTCGACGAGAAAGCTTCGGGTGCTCTTGACAGTAGGCCTGTCTCTTCCGGGGGGCATTGAACTCGCTCTCATATCGTTTCCGATCTCGAATACTCATGGTAGAATGACGATGGCCCACCCGGTCCGGGATCTCCATACCTCATCGGGTGGTACCAACATCTGACCCAGAATCTTGGTGAGTGCGATGAGATATCCACACAGAAGGGGGAATCCTCAAAGTTACTTCCGCAGGGTGGGACCTCAAAGTTGTCATTCCCAGCACTCAAAAGTCATGGATCGGTAGGCACAAACACGGAAAGGCAAGGGAGATCAACTTTAACCCCCTTCAGGCGGGGCCTTTCACACCGCCGGCACCATAAACGGTCGTTACTATTACCCCAAGGATACAGGTGGGGTCCATTTGAGGATGTCGGTATCGACATACTTCGGTCGCTCAAATCCAAATCCTCAGACGGGCAAGGGGAAATTTCCTCGTCACGCCGAGGCTTGAAGGAGGGCGAAATCGGTGAATGGGTCTTGCTAGATGCAGTAAGTTCTGCGCTCCACAAAAGCTCTTTGACGATCTTATCTCCGGCTCTCTTCAGTCGCCCGCCTCGTGTGCAAACATCGCTTTGCAAAACCTCTTCCCCGGAGAGATCGATCTCGTCGTACGTGGCCGGAGCAAGTGCTGCAGCGTCTCACTAATCCCCTTTTCGATATCCTTTGTCCCGATCAGATTTCCGGGCCCAATTTTGGGCGAAACGCATCAAGTAAGGGCCGCCCCTCTTGTGAGGGAGTTGCGAAAGCCACGGTACTAACCCCTCCTCAGGCGCATTGACCCTATCTTCAGGTACATTAGGAGCAGCCTTTTCGTCCTCACTCTCAGGTGTACGTTCTATCGCCCTCTCATATGGCAACATGACCGAGCACATCCCAACGACATTTCACAAACCCGCCTTCGAGCTTAGCTCAAGGATTATCCAGCGTCTTATCGAGAACTGGAGCCCCCACGACAACAGGGTGCTGTACGGTATCAATATCCCCATGGTGGAGAGACTGCTTCACGAGGATGGGATGCGGGTTTATTGGACGTCGGTTTGGAAGAGCAATTATCGGCGGATGTTTACCGAGGTCCCGCAGGTGGCGGATAACAGCTCACGAACCCCGGATGTTATTGTCCCCCGTGAGGGTGGTGGGAACCCGGAGGATGCTCTCGAAGGGAAGGATTTGGCGTTCAGATTCAACCCAGACTATTCAGAACTCCTCAGCAAGTCAGCCCCACCCGAAGGAACCGACAGCTGGGCCTTGAACGTCGACGCGGTCAGCGTCACGCCGTACCTAACCAATTTCGCAGAACTTCCGGAAAGCGAACACAGTTTCTCTTCCCTGCAGGACAGGGAATGGAAGTTCGAGTAACTCCCAAAGTGTCAGTGCGATTGGATGTATAATCGCCACTGCGGAATAGAATTTACCTCTGCAGTTTAGACGGTTCGTGGGTTGCGATTCTTGAGAGGAGTTAGAAATGTGATACATTTGGAACCTGAAGCCCTCAAGCTCAGGCAGGATGGTATAACTCTCCTATAAAGGAATCGTCACCAGTGCGAGCGAAATATAGCGTAATGGCCGGTATGAACGGCATCCGAGTCAGCAGTGAAGTGTGGGCGGATTTCATACTGAAGGTGCCGTACATGGGCTTTTTTCGATAAACATCGAGGTTATCACTTGATGTTCCAAGTCGCGCTCTGCGCCGGCATGTAAGCGTCATATAAGACGCACCATAAACACTCCACCGACCTCAAAGTCTCAACCTTCCCCCAGCTCATCGTTTCGATGATTGGGGTTCCTTTGTAATCATGC